TTCATGCTGCAGCCCGACCGCAAGACGTGCAAAGGTGAGCGGGAGCGCGGCCGCGGGCAGCGGGGCCTCCGGAAAACGCTTCGGAAAAGCTGGAGCTGTCGGCAGCATCGCCGAGCGGGATGCACGTGCTGGGCAATGCCGAGCGGGATGCCTGGGTGAATGCCAGGAGCGAAGCTCCGGCTGTCCCGGCGCGGCCGGCGCCTGCATCCCGTCTTTCGGCAGCTCCGGGAACTTGACCCCGCTCGAAAGGCGAGCGCTGGAAGCGCCAGCGGCCTAGACTGATTCCCAAGCCCCCTGTCCCTTTGGAATGGGGGTTTAGAGCCTGTCGCTTCTGCCATTTCCAGGAAAGCGCCACAGCCCTGCGGCTGCTGCACTTCACCCCTGTGAGCTGTTTTTATGGCTCGTGAGCTCACAAGAATAAGATGAAAATCCCAGTCCTGGCTGGGGACGGGGGCAGCTCAGAAACGGCTCCTCTTCCTGGACTCCATCCACCGCACAGCTCATTTCCTAGCAGTAAATTTTCCCAATAGTAGGGAGAAAAATAGTGATAAAAGAAAAAAGAATCCCCCATGAGCGGCTTTGGAGGCTCCCAGGGCTCTTTGCAGATATTGGGGCATCGTTTTAACTGGTTTTATGGCAAGAAAATAAGGACAAAGAGGTGAGGGTGGAAATCCTGTATCCCCTGGAGCCGCTGTGGGAGGTGGTTTCTTCTCCCCTTCACTCCTTTTTCCCTAGCGCTCCGGGTCCTTGTGACTCCTCAAGGACCCTCTTGCCTCCCGCGGAGGTGGCATGTGGTCCTGGAGGCTGGGCCCAGGAATTGCAGCATTCCCAGTGCCGGGGTGGCGCATCCCCCCGCGCTCTGGGCCCAGGCGGGGCCGTGGCATCGAGGGCCACGTCCTCCCGGGAGCTTCCCGGGTGCGTGACGGGCGTCCGCGTCCCCGCAGACATCGACGAGTGCCGGCTCAACAACGGCGGCTGCGACCACATCTGCCGCAACACGGTGGGCAGCTTCGAGTGCAGCTGCAGGAAGGGCTACAAGCTGCTCATCAACGAGAGGAACTGCCAAGGTACCGCCGCGGCTTTCGGACCTCCCTGGTACCGGCTCCCCATCCCGGCGCGTCTTCCAGACCTCCCCGAGCGGCCCTTCGCGGGCGGAGGAATGCGAGGCTGCTTAGTCACCCTCTTCGCTTTCCTCGGAGGGGAAAAAAGGCTTCTTGGCAGATCTGCTGGGGGATTAATGCGGGATTTGGGTTCTGCTCCGGGGCTGATCGCTTTGATGTGCGGAGCCGGGCCCAGCCCTGCTCCCGCTGCAGCCGTGCCGGGATCTCCTCGCGGCAGCGTTAAGCCGTCGCTTATCCGCATGCCCGGATTGCCAGGTGGAATTGGCCTTTGCTGGCTCTTGGGTTATGGGAATGCGGCCCCCGTGTGTTCCGGGAACCGGCTTGCTGCCTGCTTGGGAAGAGCAGTGGGACGTGTCCTGCCTTGTCCCTGCCCTTCCCGGGAAGCTTCCCGTCACCAGCCGCCCTGCGGCACGCGCCAGCCACGGGAACGGGGCGCTTCCTCCGTGGGCCTGCTGCATTGAGGGATTTTCCAAGGGTTTCTGCTCTTCCCCCTTCCCCTCCGTGCAGCTGAGCGGAGGGCAAGGAGGGGGCCGGCTTGGATGGCGAGCTCGGGTGCCGGCGCTCGCTGCTCTTCCCAATTTGTCCCCATGTGCCCCCGGCAGACATCGACGAGTGCTCCTTCGACCGCACCTGCGACCACCTCTGCATCAACACGCCCGGCAGCTTCCAGTGCCTCTGCAACAAGGGCTACACGCTCTACGGCCTCACGCACTGCGGAGGTAGCGCCGGGGCGGA